GGTACAAACAGTTCTCAGTTCTTTCAGTCAGAATTCTTATAATTCCAGTAAAGTAAATATCCATTTAAAAAAACTGGTTTTTTTTAAAGCTTTAGTAAACAAATGCAGTTCCTGGGGAAATTGCAAGTCACTGACTGGTGTGCAGAAGGCTGCTTTTAAACCTAAATAATGGTGGCACTGGTAAGGATGAGATGGCTCATAGCAGGCACGCCTGGAATGACAGCCTTCCCACTGTGGGTACTGAGTGGGTGCAATACCAACTAGAAAAGCTAGACATTTCTAAGTCAGCAGGACTGGATGGACTTCATCCGAGAGTGCTGAAGGAGCTGGCTGAGGTCATCGCAGAACCCCTGGCAAAGCTGTTTCAGAACTCATGGTGCGCAGGGGAAATCCCTGAGGATTGGAAGAGGGCCAACATGGTGCCCATCTTCAAGAAGGGGAAGAGGGAGGTCTGGGCAACTATAGGCCAGTCAGCCTAACCTCTATCCCAGAGAAAATCCTGGAAAAGCTCATTAAAAAATCTGTGTGTGATACACTTGTGGAAGGTAAGATTCTGAATGACAGCCAGCATGGATTTGTCATGGATAGGTCTTGTCTTACCAATCTCATCTCCTCCTATGACCAGGTCTCTCACCACCTGGACGTGGGAGACATGGTAGACATTGTATGCCTAGACTTCCAAAAGGCTTTTGATCTAGTATCCCACAATATCCTTGTGTGAAAACTAGAAGATCGTGGGCTCAGCTGCTCGACGGTTCAATGGGTGGGAAACTGGCTACAGGGTAGGACCCAGAGAGGTCTCATGAATGGATTTGTTTCGTCCTGGCGTGAAGTGGCCAGTGGTGTCCCTCAGAGGTCCGTGTTTGGACTGGTGCTTTTCAGCATCTTCATCAGTGATTTGGATGGGGGAGTGAAAAGCTCATTAGCCAGGTTCACAGACAACACCAAGTTATGGGGCAGTGTGGTCATGCCAGAAGATAGGTTGCAGATAGAGGTGGACCTGGAGAGGCTCAAGAGTTGGGCAGACCAGATCCAGATGAAGTTTAACACTTCCAAGTAAGTGTAAGGTGCTCCATGTGGGGGCAAACAACCGTCAACATATATACAGGCTCAGTGGTGATGGCCTGACTTACAGCACAGCTGAAAGGGACCTATGGGTAATGATCGACCATCACATGAATATGAGCCGTCAGTGCGAGGCAGTGGTCGGCAGTGCAAATAACACGCTGGCATGCATCAACTGATGCATCTCATGTAAAACTAAGGATGTGATACTTGGCACTGGTGAGACTGCAGTTGGAGTACTGCATCCAGTTCTGGGTGCCGCATTTCAATAAGGAAGTGGAAAAACTTGAGAGGGTCCAGAAAAGAGCCACCCATATGATCAGGGATTTGCGCAGCGAGCCATATGAGGAAAAGCTGAGGGACCTGGGCCTCTTTAGCCTAAAGAAGAGAAGGTTGAGAGGGGACTTGATAGCGACTTACTGCTGTATTGGAGGAATGCATCAGGAGCTTGGTGAACAACTGTTTACTAGCACACCCCTGGGGAAGACCAGGAGCAATGGATACAAACTCCTGGAAGGCCACTTCAGGCTTAATACCAGGAAAAACTCCTTCACAGGTAGGGTGTCCAGCCTATGGAATAAACTCCCTCCAGAGGTGGTACAGTCACCTACCCTGGCAGTTTTCAAGAGGAGACTGGACAGTCATCTCGCTGAGGTTGCTTGACCCCAGTTGTCTTCCTGCATAGAGTGGAGGGGCTGGACCCGATGATCTGCGAGGTCCCTTCCAGCCCCTTACAATCTGAATCTATAGCAATATCCTCAGGGGTAGGAAAACAGTAAATTAGGCTGTTAAAGATGCATAGAGATTTTTTTTTTCTGATCAGTGCATCAAGGAGGAAACATACCATTTAGGGCTGTCTTCAAAATTCAACAAAGTTTATGCAGTTTTCCATTTCTTTTTTTTTCAGTTTGGACTCATCTGGTTCATGTGTTAAAAGCAAGGGTGGCCAATCTGTGGCATGTGTGCAACAAGTGGCATGGTCAGCCTCTGTGTGTGGCATGTGGCAGACTATGGAGGGGGCAGGCAGCATAAAATGGTAACAGGTTGGGCAGTGATCAGAGGGAAGTCAGTAGATTGGGCATGGAGCATAAGGAAGGGTGTGTAAAGCAAGTTGGGGGGGGCGCTGGAGTGGCACTTAGGGAAGGTGTGGGGGTGATTTATGGGAAACCTGTCAAAAAGGTTGGCCCCCCAGCATCTTCAAGTAAGATTTTAAGCTCAGTAGACTAGGATACTTTCTGCTTAGCTAAATGTCTGAACCACCTGGCATCTAATGTTTTTTGGGGGGAGGAGGGTGATACCAAAATACAGAGAAAGCTATTTTATGTACTGATTATTATTTGTATCTTAAGCTGTACTTCCAGTTTGTCTTGGGGATTTGTTTTGCCGGGGTCAGGGAGAGTTTCTGTTTTTTTTCTTACTGTTAGAAACAAAACAGAGAAACTTGTGCTTGTGAGCTATTAAAAGGATGACAGGAAGATGTGGAGGAAGTAGCTGTTGAAAACAAAGAAAACTTCAGTCTAGTCTGCACTTTTTAGTGAGTTTGCTTTGCTGGTTGAGAGGCTAACTATAGTTTATGCGCTAGTATTTATTCAGTGGTCATGTGTGAGATACAAGGCTTCTATTAAAAAAAATGGTGATAATTATTACAGTTTTTCCACTGTAATCTGTATGTGCTACTATCCTGGACAACTGTCTGATATACCCATAGCTACAACTGCTGCACTATCAAAACATAAGATGGCTTTATTGCTAATTTAACTCTTTATGTAGCCCTCCATTACCATAGTATTAGAACACCTACATTTTTAGTGTTTTTTTCTTTACAAGACTTGTGAGATATGGAATAGAAAATTATTCTCACTTTTTACATGGGGAAACTAAATTGAAGAGAGACTTAAGGGCCAGATTCTTTTTCACCTTCTATGTATTTGAGTAATGCTGAGGGTGTGAACAAACATATACTTGAAGCAGCTTGAAAATGGGAAGGGAAGCTGCTCCTTGGACTATGCAGAAGCTTCTTTTTCTTTCATATGGCATCAGATGTAAACTTTAAATCTATGAGCCACTGTCTGGTATTGGTACTAAATGTGCATATTCCATCTGCCTCATCTGGGCATTTGTAAAGACTGCAGCTTTCAATTAAGTGCTGTGCTGTTTGTTGGACACAGCACTCGCACAGGCGGCTGTCCAAGATGTTCATCTTCTGAAGTGTTGTTTTGAAGTCACAGTGTCCACATCTCAGTTTGTTCTGCTTGACCCCCCAATTCTGTCAAGGTTGTGCCCAATGGCGGACTTATTTGGTGTTGGTATAAAACACTGTATGAATAGTTCTGACCTTTCCCAGCTGTTGGTCCACTCTGTTCCTCCTGTGGCTAGGGACAAACATTCAGAAAGCTGGAGCCTAAATTGATTCAATCTTTGCAGGTTAAGTTAAGGCAGGCTTGTCCAGCATATGGCCTATGGGCCGCCATGCAGCCCACCAAACTGTTTTCTGAGGATTGAGGAGCTGCAACGGGAACCGAAAGTAAACACTGTTTACTTTCATTCTCACCCCTTGTCCCTCCCCCAGTCCCTCAGAAGCTTCCTAATGGCTGCTGAAGGGCTGTGAAAGGAACAAGGTTCCCACATGCACTGTGTCAGCTTGACGTTGCTGATGTGGTGCGGCTCCTCTCCTACCCCCTCATTTCATGGTGTATCTTCCTAGCCCCACCCCTCCCTTCCTCATTTGCATGCCAGCCCCACCCTGCGCCAGTCCCTGCCAGCTGCGCGGCTGGAGCAGGTCACGGTGCGGGGGACGCGTATGCCGGCTCGGAGGGATGCTGCGGCCAGGCCCGCGGGAGATGCTGCTGCCACTGCTCCTGTGGCTGTTGGGGTGGGAAGCTGGCACCGCTCCTGCCTCCCCGCATCCCCCCACACCCACAGACATCGTGCTGGGTGTGGTGAGTTGTGGGCCCTAGGGAGGGAGGGTCAGGCTTGGGCTGCCCCAGAGGAGAGGGAGCGGGGGGGGGTGTTCCTGCATGTCCCACACCCCCCGTAGGGTCCCCGCATGTCCCCCTGGCTGCGGAGCCCAGGTACGCAGGTGTGGGAGCATCCTGGAGGCCACCCAGGTGTCAGGGAGGCCATGGTGGGGTCAGGTGGCGCCCCTTGACCCCTGCACCCCCAGGCCGCGGCCGGACTGAACAGGCTGCGTGAGCGCCCGCTCCTGCCGGCCCACTGGATGATAAAAAGTTCATGCTCCGGCCCCACATTCAGAAAGGTTGGACATCCCTGGTCTAAGGCATCCAAAAACTGGAGCCAGAGCTCTGTGTCCTGGACAGAAGCTGCCAGGCTGAAGCTCCCCCTGCCCACCCAAAAAAGCACGGCAGGGGTGGCAGCAGGAACTGGAGACCAGGTGGACAGAACAGCCCGCCCAGCCCCAGCCCTGGCTAGCCCGCAGGTTTTCATGTGGCTGCAGCTGCCAGGTGCTGCCCAGGGTAGAGGGAGCAGCGGTGGTGGCTGTGGTAGGTGGCTTCCAGGTTTGGGGCCTGCCAGCACCTCTGAGCCGCCCAGGCAGCCTGCTACCTGGCCAGCTCCGGCCTGTGCTGCCAAGTCAGATTGTCACAGAGCTGCAGTTGCTGGGCAGAGAGCCCTGCCCAGCCAGCTGCAACCCCATGACAGCCCCTCCTGGCCTGGGCAAGGGGTGCCAAGAACACTCTGGCCCCATAGACCCCATCCCACCTCAGGGGGCAGTGCCAGCCTCATGCCACTTCAAGGGGCCATGTCAGCCAGTGTCTGGCCATGCCTCGCTCCTGCTCTGTCCAGAGAGCAAAAGGGCGGGGCCAGCTCTACTGTCTGGAGCAGACAGCACAGTCCAGGGATGAGAAGAATGCTGGGATGCTGGAGGACTCCAGTTTAAGTTAAACAAGGAAGGGGTCTGAGACGGAAGTTGCATAAACCATAGAGGTGCGCTGATGCATCAGCCCCATATTGGGGTGTGTGCAGTTGTGGGAGCCATCCCCCATTCCCTGTGCCACCCCAAACAAGCCACTCCTGGCTCTGTCCTGTGCCCTGCCTTGCCTGGCTGGGCAGCACCTTTCCCTGCCCCACTCCCTCCATCACTGCAGGGGGCCTCAGTCTGCCCCCTCTGCACCCCACTCATTCCCTCCCCCTACACCAGACTTACCAG